AACGTGCCCCAAGCCCCAAACCCTGAACCCTACACCCTAAACCCTATAAGCCCCCCCCCCCCAAACAAAAAAAAACACTTCCCGGGATTTTAGAGGGTTTAGGGGATTATAGGGTGTAGGGCTTGTAGGGCTTAGGGTGTATAGGGCTTAGGTTTAGAGTTTTTTGGGTTTAGTTAGAGGTGGTACCCAGAGACAAGGGGGTAATGAAAGAACTGTTCGTATACGGGTGAACATCTCAAGTGTTTACATAACAAGGGGTCCAAATTCAGAGCCCATACCTGGAAACCTGGAGTTCGGGTTAAAGCAAGGCTTGTGCCGCATCTGCCGCCAGGCAGCAAAGTGCCGGAAGAGCAGAGCATCGCTTTCCTCGGTAGCCCAGTAACCATCTTATGATAAGGGTGCCCATTTTTTGATTACAGAATGAGGGTACCCTAAACCCTAAACCCTAAACCCTAGACCCTAGACCTAAGGGAACCTTGAAGCAAAAAAAGGGCACAAGGGTACCACTGGGCAACCAAGCTTCACGATCGTAGTGGAACAGCGCAGCTCTGCGGCACTCGGCCTGCAAACCCTGAGCCTATCTGAGACCCTCTTTACCTACTGATAAGGGTTTAGGGTTTAGGGTATAGGGTTTAGGATACTTGGGGCTCTCCTAACCTACATTTGTTTATGGCTTAGACCCTACTACTTCAGGGGTGGCTACTACCAAACTGTAGGTAACTAGGTCCCAGGTATACCCTAAACTTTTAACAGGACAATTCTCGATTCTACTTGGAGGCTGTTCCGGCTCCTGGCTGTAAGTTTACCAGAATAACCCTGAACCCTAAACTCTTACCAGAATACAGAAATTCGGTGCCCTTCACCCCAAAAAAACATGAATAAAACAATAAACAAAGATATACATACATATACACACAAACATATTCATTTATTTATTTTCTAAGAATGTCTAGGGAAACCACCTAAATCCTGCGCCCTCATGACCTGGATTTATGGTGCCAAGATCCATTTAGGGGTTTCCGAAAAACCCTTTTTTTTTTGGGGGGGGGGGGGTCCCCTACACGGGGATTCAGTTCTATTTGGGATGTAAAAGGGGTACGTACCCCTATTTTTGGAAATACCCATCTAAGGATTTCGGGGATTGGGGGTCAAAGGGGTCTAAGGGCTTCAAGAATATGGATGGAATGTAGAAAGCCATTCCCTGAGGCAACAAGTATACAACTCAGAGCCGGTTGGGGTGAGGCCGGGGGGGGGGGGGGCTGTATATCTATGGGTTTAACAAGGCCGTATAACTAGGGTGTACGGCACATAGAACTGTAGAAGTTATTTCAGCTCAACCCTGTCGTCTGCGTGATGAAAGTCTGTAAGTAAGAAATACACCCTAATGGCGACCTGGTAGACTGAAGTGCTTAAGGATTGCCTCACAGAAGGTGGCACAACAAAAAGTGTCTCTGACCTTTGTAGCAGAAAGTTATTGCTCATGGCTTTCCCTACTACCCCCCCCTCTATACTAACCCGTCCTATAGGTTCTCGCCTCAGTTATTGGCGGGGAACCCTGGGGGAGAGGGGGGCGGCAGTATAGAGCGGGGTAGTAGGGGGAACCCACCAGTCTCCGGGTTTAGGGTATCGGGAGGTTCTGCATGGGCTTAGGGTTTAGGGCTTAGGGTTTCAGGGTTGATCAAGACGTGAATCCTGAGCTCTAAATGCCCCTGAACTCCAAACCCCTGCAGCGCAGGTGCTGCAGATCTTCAAGCGCAGGCACCCAATCTAGAACCCCTAAGCCCCAAACCCTCAACCCCCCCCAAACCATAAACGCTGAACCCTAAACCCTAAACTCTTAACCCTCAAGGGGTCAACTTGGCTCCCTCAGTTGAGGAAGACATACTTCAAGGCATGTCCATAAGTCTTTTATAAACCCTAAACCCCAACTTACCCTTAAAACAAACACTAGGAAGTCGTGGACTCTTTCGGGCTCTTTCTTCCCAAAAAAAACAGGTGCACCTGGTTGAACGTCGGAACATCGATGGCGGGGAAGGCCCCTGCGCAGGATCCCCCCCAGGAGCGTCAAGGATTCCAGGATTTTAAGCCCAAAACCCAAAATTTCTGGAAAGGGCGGTCCGCAGGGTGGGGGGGAATCTACTGACTTACAGTTTAGCAGAAACTACTACCTACCCCTAACCTTTTTTTGCCTAAATACAGTGTTGAGGGGCTGAGGGTGGTAGGAGCTCGAGGAGTTCGGCCCCAGGGAACTTCGGACTGCGGGTGTGCAAGCCACTTTACTCCACACAGGCCACCAACCCTAAACCCTAAACCCTAAACCCTAAACCCTGAACCCTCAACCCTGCTCCAGCCACCTCGACCGCCTTCCAAAAAACGGCCCTTATTTCAAGCACAGGGTTTAGGGCTTAGGGTTTAGGGTATAGGGTTTAGGGCTTAGGGTTTAGGGTTTAGGGTTTGGGGTTTATTTCAACCACAGGGTGTAGCGGCAGGCACCTCGCAGCATCTCTGCAATGAGCTTCCTCTCCTCCAGCTTCGGGTTCTGGAGGTTCGGGCGGAGGGGGTTTGAGGGTTTAGGGTTTAGGGTTTTGGGGTTTTGGGGTTTTGGGGTTTAGAGTTTTAGGGTTTAGGGTTGGAGGAGGCTTCGGTTAGAGCATTCATGCATGGCCAAACCCCTGGCGTTCTTGTACGGCCTCATTCCCAGACAACGTGAGTTGTGGCGGTCTGGGGTTGACGGCTTCAGGAAAGTAGGGCCTGGGGAGGGGGGGGGGGGGGGGGGGGGGGGGGGTACACTTCTGGGTTCCTACAACAAGGACTCTGGTGCAAGAGCTTAGCCACAGCAAGAGGAGCGATAAGAAGAGGGGCGCAAGACGCAGGTGCTGCCCTTGGCTGAGTCGAAGATGCTGGTCACCGGAGCCGCGGTAGACATCTGCACATCTTGCATGATACATATTATTACATGCGGGGTGCGGGTTGTTATAGTATGTTTATAGAGGGACCGTACGGGAATACTTTTAGGAACAACTTGACAGCCGTGAGATGAGTTCCCAGGCCATATGGCACTCCCTGTAACCTAAATCAAGCAAGGGTTTAGTGTTTAGGTCTTAGGGTGCAGGATTCAGGGCTTACACAATCTAAAGAAAATAGAAAATCATATTCATCCGTTATCATACCTAACCCAAAGAAGCCACGCTGTGGACATACGGATTAATTAGGGTTTATGGTTTAGGGTTTAGGGTCTAGAGTTCGGGAAGCTCAACAGCCGCCCCCCCCCCCCCCCCCCCCCCCCCCCCCCCCCCCCCCCCCCCCCCCCCCCCCCCAAGTCCCCCATCCCTCCCTCGCTCCGCCATCTTCGTCGTCTTCCCGCCGCCTGCGCCGTCTGGGGCATCCTGCATCCAAGGAGCTTGAGGTTCAGGGTTTAACCCTAAAAGCCTAAAATCTACAACCCTATGCCCTAGAACTTAACCTTAAATCCCTAGAAGCCTGGACCCTGAATCTTAAGGTTTAAGACTCAGCGTTCAGGGTACTAATTCCCGATTTAAGGGACGAAAGGAGGGGTGCTTGCAAGGAACGCGCTGTTTTTGGGGCTACTTGAACTTACAATGCATGTGTTAAGGTACGTGCAAGGTACATATATATATATACATATTTATGTATTATAGATATACATAAATAAAAAAATATAAAGACAATCTATACCTATAACTATAACTATAGATCTAAATATAATATAAATGAAGGCATTATATAGGGTAGTAGGATCAAGAGTCCCTTTTCATGGGGGATTCGGGTTTAGGGCTTAGGGTTTAAAATCTATAGCCAAAATTTAGCAAGCCCCCTGAGCTTCAAGGCATGGTGTACAAGGGCACTCAGGGAGGTGTGCGGGACATGGTAGGCGTTCTTGTAAGCATGACCGAAACCACTCAATATCCAAACCCTGAGCCCTACAGCCTGACAAACTCAACCTCAGCTCTCCCGCCCCTCAACCCCACCCCGCCCCCCCTCCCTAAGAGAAACAGAATCGACCATATCGCATTGGTCCCTAACCCATAAGCCGAAACTCTAAGCGCTTAAGGCCATGCCGAAGCTGTTGGAATCCAACCCCTTCCTGGAAGGCTGTACATGAAGGTTCATTGTACTGTGTAACCCAATTAAAACTGTACTCATAACTAATTACAACCATATTAGGGCACTTCAGGGGCTTATAAGTAAGTAGGCTTTTTTGCGGTTTGAGGACTTTGTTTTGGTTTAGGGTCGTGGGGTTTTTGGGTTTTGGGGATGTAGGCTGTAAGGTTTCAAGGCCTTAGGGTTCTCTGGGTTTTCGGGCTCATGGTATAGGGTTTGGGGCTTTGTAGGGCTGAGGGCCGACGGTTTAGGGTCTAAGGGCATTTTGGGTCTGGTTCCCAAGGGCTTTCTATTAAACACCTGATTCTTAAGAGGGGCTATAGCTTAGGACATCAGAGGTCAAATCCCTGACTCCGTCCTTCGGACCTCCCAGGCCATTGAGCACCTGCAGACATAGGGGCCAGCTGGAGATTTAGGGGCCCCAACCTTTTTCTTAAGGGTTTAGTGCTTCGGGTTCAGGGTTGGGGTTAAGGGGGGGGTGGGGGCTAGGGTTCCAGGGCTGGAAAAGAGTGTTTTGAGGTCACAGCTTGAAAGGCTTTGGGGGTTTTGGTTGGGATCCACTCACCCTTCCACTTAGACATGGGCCCACGCTCCGCGCACCCCGCGTCCCGCCATGGTACCCCCCAACAAAGAACCGCTGACCCATATGCATGTAGTTTTTGGTGATGCGTAGAATTATATATATATATATATATATATATATGTATATATAGATAGATAGATAGATAGATAGATGGCTAGCACATAGAAATATACCATACGTATAGCACGCGAAATATGTGAAGTATGCAGCCCCTGACCCCAAAAGCCCCAAATTTTTAAAGTCCCGCTCCCACTGGCGCCTGTAGCGGAGCAGTGCTGAAGTCCCTCGCAGAGCCTTTGGGCCTGGCGGGATTTTTCCCCCAGAGGCTTAAGGCTAGGGAGGTTGGGTCAGGGCTTCGGGCTTAGGGCTTAGGGCTTAGGGCTTGGGGTTTAGGGTTTAGGGTTTAGGGCTTAGGGCTTAGGGCTTGTGGTTTGGGGTTTGGAGGTTAGGGTTTAGGGTTTAGGGTTTAGGGTTTAGGGTTTAGGGTTTAGGGTTTAGGGTTTAGGGTTTAGGGTTTAGGGTTCAGGGTTTAGGGTTTAGGGTTTGGGCTGGATTCCCCCTTGCTTGGGGGAAACCTTATATACACCTTACTATACCCACTGCAACCCAAGAACCCATACATCCGACCCCTTTAAAGAAGGCAAGGGACCCTTTTCAGGGACCATGAAACCCTAAACCCTAAACCTGTATGCCCTGGGGGCCCATACTTCAGAAGGTAATTCGGCCCATACTAAAGGACCAACCCTAAACCCTAAACCCTAAGCCCTAAACCCTAAACCCTAAACCCTGAACCCTGAACCCTGAATACTGAACCCTTAGGGTTTGGGGTTTAGGGCTTTGGGGTGGGAACTTTCGGGGCGGACGACATCGAAATGAAGCCCTACACAGACTTCGGGGCCCTTGCGGCTTTTGTGTTTTGGGAACCTAAGCATGGACCATCAGGCTGGGGAGTTTAGGGTTTAGGGTTTAGGGTTTAGGGTCTAGGGTCTAGGGTTTAGGGTTTAGGGTTTAGGGTTTAGGGTTTAGGGTTTAGGGTTTAGGGTCCGCCGACCCTGGCGGCGTGTTGGATGGGAAAAGGATTCCCTCCTTACCCCCCCAAAACGCGGGGGGGGGGGGGGGGGGGGGGGGTCGGTGCACAATTTTTTCGTGGAGGACCGCGCCACCCGCACAGCGTAAACAGGGGGTTCAGCACGGGGGGGTAGGGGCGCCCTCAGCAAAATCAGCGTTTCCCGCCTCCCCCCCCCCCCCCCCCCCCCCCCCCCCCCCCCCCCCCCCCCCCCCCCCCCCCCCCCCCCCCCCCCCCCCCCCCCCCCCCCCCCCACACCCCCCCCCCACCCCCCCCCCCCCCCCCCCCCCCCCCCCCCCCCCCCCCCCCCCCCCCCCCCCCCCCCCCCCCCCCCCCCCCCCCCCAACCCCACCCCCCCCCCCCCCCCCCCCCCCCCCCCCCCCCCCCCCCCCCCCCCCCCCCCCCCCCCCCCCCCCCCCCCCCCCCACCCCCACCCACCTGTCTTTTTGGCTTGAGCTTGTCCTGGTGCTACCCCCTACCCCCCCCCTAAACGATTCACAGAACTCTGCCGGGGATGATCTTCCATGCGAGCGGGTCTCAACTATGCTCCAGCGGGGTCGGCGGCTTGAGCCGGAGGCTCTTAAATTTAGGGTTTAGGGTTTGGGTGGGGGGGGCACATCGAGTCCAAAGACTCTGTGGCATTCCAGTCTATGTGTTGCACCTTGGACCTTTCTGGCTTAAGGTTGTGCCCCTTTGGGTTTGGGAACCCTTGCTCAGTAGCCCAGTAACCATATTTTCATAAGGGTGCCCTTTCTTTGGTTGGCTACTTTATAAGGGAACTCAGAAGCCAAGAGAGGGTAAAGGGTAAAGGGTACCGCTGGGCTATACCAAGCTTATAAAGATCCTTGAGGTGGTGTAAGGGCCATATTAGGTGTATGTTAAGGGGAACTTTTACGGGTACAGCCTTCGGGGTACGAGTCTTATTTTTGTTGAATCCTAGTTTTGGGATCACGTGCAGACCGGAACTCCTGAACCTCAAACCCTAGACTAGCAGATGTAACCTCATTTCGCAGCATGGAAACCCTGAATGACTCGTTAACAGCCCTAAACCCTAAACCCCAAACCCTAGACCGGGTTCATTTGGGTTCATTCACTTAGTGTCCAAGGATTGGCCTGCAGACTTCAAATTGCTTAAGCCTTAAACGGGTGGAGTTTTTTTTTGGGTATTTTTTTTTTTGGGCCTTTTTTTTTTTGTCGATTTTCTTGGTTTTCTCTAGGAAAAACCCTACTTTCCTTACATTTTGGACGGATTTTCTGTCATGTCCCTTAGGTTTTCGTTGGTTTTTCATAGGGAAAAACCTATTTTTTTACATTTTGGACGGATTTCCTGTAATTTCCCTTAGGTTTTCCTTGGTTTTTCCTAGGGGGAAAACCCTATTTTCCTTACATTTTGGACAGATATCCTGTCATTTCCTTCGTTTCTTGGGCTTTGAAGCACGCTTGGTACGGCTTAAAAGAAGCGGGGGGGGTTGGGGGGGGGGGGCGCAGCCCCCCCACTTGCAAACACCTCTTGGGCTTTGAAGCACGCTCTGCGCGGCTTCCAAAAAAAAAGAGCGGGGGGGTTGGGGGGGGTCTCACACGATGCTTTTCAACTAGTTTCTTGGGCTTTGAAGCAAGCTTGGTACGACTTAAAAGAAGCGGGGGGGGTTGGGGGAAAACACAGCCCCGCTCCCCCATTTGCAAACACCCTGCTCACATGACGGGTGTCAACAAGTTTCTTGGGCTTTGAAGCACGCTCTGCACGGTTTGAAAAAAAACGAGGTTTTCGTTGGTTTTTCCTAAGGAAACCCTCTTCTGATTACATTTTGGACGGATTTCGTCAAACGTCAAAGCGTACGTTGCTTTTCCTTAGTTTGTCCTAGGGAAAACCCTATTTGGTTCGTTTTCTTGGCTTCTATCATTCCCTCTACATTTTCATCGGATTCATACTTTTTGTTCAACTAGTTTCTCGAGCTTTGAAGTACGCTTGGTACGGCTTAAAAGAAGCGGGGGGGCGCAGCCCCCCCCCCCCATTTGCAAACACCCTGCTCACATGATGGGTGTCAACAAGTTTCTCGGGCTTCGAAGCACGCTCTGCACGGCTTAAAAAAGCGGGGGGGCTGGGGCTTTGAAGCACGCTTGGTACAGCTTAAAAGAAGCGGGGGGGTTGGGGGGGCTGTGCCCCCCATTTGCAAACACCCTGCTCACATGATGGGTTTCAACTACTTTCTTGCGCTTTGGCTGAAAAAAAGCGGGGGGGTTGGGGGGGGCGCAGCCCCCCCCCATTTGCAATGCTCACACGATGTTTTTCAACTAGTTTCTTGGGCTGCCCTTGGGCTTTGAAGCACGCTTGGTACGGCTTAAAAGAAGCGGAGGGGGTTGGGGGGGGGCGCAGCCCCCCCCCCATTTGCAAACACCCTGCTCACATGATGGGTGTCAACAAGTTTCTTGGGCTTTGAAGCGCGCTCTGCACGGCTTAAAAAACAAAAAAAAGCGGGGGGGTTGGGGGGGGCGCAGCCCCCCCCATTTGCAAACACAATGCTCACACGATGCTTTTCAACTAGTTTCTTGGGCTTTGAAGCACGCTTGGTACGGCTTAAAAAAAGCGGGGGGGGGGGTTGGGGGGGCTGTGCCCCCCCTCTGCAAACACCCTGCTCACATGATGGGTTTCAACTAGTTTCTTGGGCTTCTTCGGCGAACTACAAAGCGGGGTGGTTTGTGTGGGCGCCAAGCCCCCCCCATTTGCAAAACAATGCGCACGATGTTTTTTTCACTCTTAGTTCTTCTTGGCTGCCCTTGGGCTTTGAAAGCACGCTGTACGGCTTAAAAGAAGCTGGGGGGGTTGGTTGGGGGGGGGGGGGGCGTCAGCCCCCCCCATTTGCAAACACCTGCTCACATGAGGGGTGTCACAAGTTTCTTGGGCTTTGAAGCGCGCTCTGCACGGCTTTAAAAAAAACAACAAAAAAGCGGGGGTGTTGGGGTGGGGGCCTGTACCCCCCATTTGCAAACACAATGCTCACATGATGGGTGTCAACAATCTTCTGGGGCTTTGAAGCACGCTCTGCACGGCTGAAAAAAAGCGGGGGGGGTTGGGGGGGCGCAGCCCCCCCCATTTGCAAACACAATGCTCACACGATGTTTTTCAACTAGTTTCTTGGGCTTTGAAGCACGCTTGGTACGGCTTAAAAGAAGCGGGGGGGTTGGGGGGGGGCGCAGCCCCCCATTTGCAAACACCCTGCTCACATGATGGGTGTCAACAAGTTTCTTGGGCTTTGAAGCACGCTCAGCACGGCTTAAAAAAAGCGGGGGGGTTGGGGGGGGCGCAGCCGCCCCCATTTGCAAACACAATGCTCACACGATGTTTTTCAACTAGTTTCTTGGGCTTCGAAGCACGCTTCCTTTCTTCCTTCCTTGCTTCCTTCCTTGCTTCCTTCCTTTCTTCCTTCCTTTCTTCCTTCCTTGCTTCCTTCCTTTCCTCCTTCCCTCCTTTCTTCCTTCCTTCCTTTCTTCCTTGCTTGTTTTCTTCCTTTCTTTCATCCTTCCTTCCTTCCTTTCTTTCCTTCTTTCCTTCTAAAACCTACCAGAAATAACGCTTTCCTATGAAACCACAGAGAAATTACTGTTTTTCGTACGAAAAACCACGAAAATGCATCAAATCCTTTAAAAATATGGAGGGAATGGTGGTTTTCTTAGGAAAAACCAAGAAAATCGACCAAAAAAAAAAAAAAAAAAAGGCCCCCCCCAAAAAAAAAAAAGACCCCAAAAAATAGGCCCTCCCCCTAAACCCCTAAACCCCGAAATCCCCAAACACCAAATGACGAATTAAAAGCCCTAAACCCCAAACCCCAAAGCCTAAATGGCCAAACTCTGAGCGCTGCATCCCTGAATCACTGATCCCTAAACCCTGAACCGGTAAGGTGAGCCCCCTAAACCCTAAACACTAAACCCTAAACCCTAAACCCTAAACCCTGAACCACCTCAAGGTTTAGGGCTTATGGTTAGGTGCCCGAGCCTCTTCTGGGAGGCCTTCACCTCCCGCGCCAGGGTGAAGCCTTCTCTGGGAGTTCCGAGGGCGGAAGGCATGCTCTTAGGTTGCTACGGTTTAGGGTTTAGGGTTTAGGGCTAGGGTTTAGGGTTTAGGATAAAGGGTTCAGGGTTTAGGGTGAGCATGGTTTAGCGTGTAGGGTGAGCAGAGTCTTCGGGTTTAGGCTTCTTGGGGTTTACGCTCGCGGTTTGGGTTGCTTGGGGTTTTGGCTTTAGGGTTCAGGGGCTTGGGGGCTTTCTAGGGCTTTAGGAGTGACCTGTGCAATTACCTACGAACTGGAAATGGGGTGACCTCCTTTAGCTAGGCGTTAGGTATAGCCGACTAACAAAAAGGCTTGGTAACCCAGCAACCATATTACAAGGGTGCACGTTGTGTGGTTGGTTACTTGATAAGGGAACCCAGAACCAAAAAAAGGGGAACACTGGGCTACCAAGTAAGAGTTTGGGGTAGCAGGCCTGGTTTAGTTCTTCAGGTGGGTTTAGGTTTAGGGTTTCGGGCTTAGGCTTTAGGCTTTAGGGTTCAGACTGGTGCTCAGAACCAACACCCGTCGAAGGACTGAGGCCCCAAGAATTCGAACTGCTTGAGGGGTGGGGTGAGGGGTTCAAGCCCCAAAAAGTCCCTAAACCCTAAACCCCAAACTGCGGATTTAGGGCTAAGGTTAGCCGAAAAGCTGAAGCCTCAACAACATGCCGCCCAAGCAGCTGTCCACCCGAAAGGTCAGGGTTGGGCCCTGCGGAAGCCTTGCCAGCTTCATGTACCTTGGGCTTGAAGGCCCTGAACCCTATACCCTAAACCCTAAACCCTAAACCCTAAACCCTAAACCGGTCTAGGGGATTCGGGGCTTGGGGGGGCCGAGGGTGGTTCGGGGCTTAGGGGGTGGCTTGGGATGGTTTAGGGTTTAGGGTTCAGGGTTCAGGGTTTAGGGTTTAGGGTTTCGGGCTTACCTGGGACTCGCTTTACCGACACTGGAACTACGCCTCAAGTGTACACAACAAGCAACGCGACCTCACACAAGCTCGAGACGCGCGCAATCACATTTTGACATGCATGAACGCGGCAGGCGGCGTCACAGAGTCGCACCTTGGCTAGCACTTACGGCAGCCAAGAGCGCTCGACACCCCACCGTCCTTCAAATAGGGTGGAGCGGGCGGGTCTTTTCAAGAAGAGGCTACGTTGCTGCCACACCTCAGCAACGAGCGCCTACAACACGCAGGCATTACGTTGCTACATCACTTGAGCAACGAACGCCTGCAACACGCGGCATCCGTTCCTAACGTGTCACTACGTGCAAGCATGCACTTCACGACACTGGAACTACGCCTCAAGTGTACACAACAAGCAACGCGACCTCACACAAGCTCGAGACGCGCGCAATCACATTTTGAATTTTGACATGCATGAACGCGGCAGGCGGCGTCACAGAGTCGCACCTTGGCTAGCACTTACGGCAGCCAAGAGCGCTCGACACCATATAGGTGCGACGCCTGCTGCCATAACTTCGCACCGTACAGCCCTTACAGCCCCTTCTCAGGAAACCACTCTACCGCTCTCAGAAGAGTCTCCAGCAAGGACTCGTAGTCATGCTCCGCCCACTGCCAACCATGCTGCTCTGCATATCTAAAGTCGAACCGGCTAACAGCATCACTGCGCTGCCACACTGGCCACCAAGCCCTGCGCTCCATGAAGCACCAAGCCACCTGCAACAGCTTATTCAGGCTATGGTCCCTTCCAAAGCCTTTCGAAAGAGCATGTCGCGCAGGTTCGTTGTCCACAAAGAGCAGAATGTGCAGGGGCAAGTGGTCCTGCAGCGCCAACAGTGGGAGCAATTGAGCCACGACCTCAAGGATGTAGATGTACGCGCGGCGTGATGTGAAATGCCTGGCGAACCACATTGGCACTCGACCAGCTGCGAAGACAGTCTTCCCTGGCAGATTGACGACAAAACCCCAACCATTGTTGAACGTCGCCGGTGGCTGCCGCCCCCAATCAGGGGCCTGGTCCGCGTTGGCCAAAGTATATCGACTACCTCCCAGCTCGAAGAAGGCATCCGCATAGATGACAACCCTCTCCTTCACGAAGAACCGAACCACACGCGGAGCACCTTGCCGAAGAAGAAGTCGGAGAAATTCTATGGCAGCACGTAATCCCTGGTTAAGAGGCTACGTTGCTGCCACACCTCAGCAACGAGCGCCTACAACACGCAGGCATTACGTTGCTACATCACTTGAGCAACGAACGCCTGCAACACGCGGCATCCGTTCCTAACGTGTCACTACGTGCAAGCATGCACTTCACTACAGTTTTATGGGCTAGGCCTACTAATTAAGGAGTATCTACTACTAACCTGTAGGTACAGAGAGCCCCAGGTAGGATTTGAATGTTTTCGGGTTTCTTGGCACATAGGAGAGCCTAAAACCCTAAGCCCTAAGAACCCCCAGAGTCCACCAACAAAACCTATAACCTAAGCACCCTGCGTATGTTGCCAAGGAACGTTGCAGCTTTGGTGGCAGTGAACATGATCAGGTGCGAGACGTTGAAATGGCCCGCGACCTGGGGCGGTCTGAGGTTTAGGGTTTAGGGTTTGAGAGTTTCAAGGCTCAAGGTTGCTCCTTATACTAACAGTCCTTAATAGGGATTCTAGTACCACCTATTATAATCTCCATGAAGGACTGTTAGCAAAAGGGGCAACATCGGAATCTTAGGCTTTACTGCTCACAGCATGGAGACAGAGATGAGAGCTTCGAAGCTAGAGCCCACAGCAGGCCCCTGACCAGAAGCATCCCCCCACTCCACAAGCGCCTACAGTGAACCCCGAACTACTATTTGCTTAAGAACCCCCCCCCAAAAAAAAAAAAAAAAACTTGGAAGGGCCATATGGGGATTCTTATCCTGTTCCTTTTTTGTGCTTTTCTCCTTCCGGGGGGGGGGGGGGTCTTAAGCAAATAGTAGCCAGACCTCAATAACCCCCACAATGCCTGTACAACAGTGTATATGAGCCTTTTTCAAAACCTGGGATGCCCATAAGATCTAGAATGATATAATGTAAACCCTTTATACCCTTTATACCCTATATACCCTCAAAACCCTGTAAACCCTGTATACCCTGTATACCCTGGATGCCCTGTATGCCCTATCAACCTTGTATACCTGTGATACACTATAAACCCTGTAAACCCTATAAACCTTAGCAACCCCGCAAGCCTTGTAAGCCTGGTAAGCCGTAAACACCCTAAAACACACCCATAAGCCCTCAGCCCTGTATACCCCCACATATAGCCCCTAAATACCCCAATAAGAACCCCGCATACCCTAAACCCTAAACCCCAAACCCCAAATCCCAAATCCCAAACCCTAAACCCGAAACCCTAAACCCCAAACCCTAAACCCTAAACCCCGTAAGCTTCAGGCAGCGATGAAGTCCTCGACCCGGTTGGTCTTCGACTCCTTGAGCGCCTTGGCAGAGTTCGGCATCATCACCTTGGTAGCCCAGAGGGGAGTTTAGGGTTTAGGGTTTAGGGTTTAGGGTTTAGGGTTTAGGGTTCACCTTGGTAGCCCAGTAGCCATATTCGAGTCATGCTGAGCCTAAAAAGGGGCCCTAAACCCTGAACCCTTCTTTGAAGATTACGTGTGTGTTTTTGTGTCATAATGTGCTTTTTTGTTTTTGTTTTTTTTTAACTTATAGGGATTCTAAATAGGAGGTACTATAATGCCTATTAAGGACATTGTGGGGTTCTTAAGGGAGGGGGGCTCAAGGGGGGTAGGTACCCTACTACTTCCCTAATACTCCCTAAGGCTCCCTAAGCTTCCCTAAAGTTCCCTAGGTACCTACCCCCCATGAACCCCCCCCTCTCTTACGAACACGATGGCAGTAGCCATATTCGAATCATGCCTGGACCTGAAACCTAAAAACCTTGAATTTTCTATGACTAGTTTGTTTATTCTGTTTATTCTTTGGAGGATTGGCTAATTACTTCATTCAAGTATTGTTGATTGTTGCTCTTTGTCATTCGTTTGTTTTTTTTTTTTTTTTTTTTGGGGGGGGGGGGGGGGGGGGGGTAGAAAAAGTGGGCAACAAGGGTACCACTGGGCCACTCAGTCGCCATCCGGAAGTCTTGAACCAAGTCTTTGATGCGGTCGCCCACCTCGAAAGTTTACGGTGTAGGGGTGTAGGGGTGTAGGGGTGTAGGGGTGTAGGGGTGTAGGGGTGTAGGGGTGTAGGGGGTATGGTTTAGAGCTTGGGGCGTAGGGTTTAGGGTTCAGGGTTCTGTTTTTTTTTTAGGGTTTAGGGTTTCGGACTTAAAAGAACTTCGGGGGGCTAGGGTTTCGGGTTATTCTGAGGGTTTGGGGTTCTTCGGGTTTCTATTTCTTGGTGGGGATCGTATTAAAATTTTGAAATTACATTCCTTAATTAATGGGTTTAAGTGCCCTCAAACATGTAAAATGTTACCCAACTATGACCAAGGTTTGGGGTTTCGGGTTTAGGGCTCTAAACCCTAACCCCTAAACCCCTTTGGGCTTTCGGGTTCAGGGCTTGGGGGCCTCAGGATCTGTAGGGTTCAGGGTTTAGGGTTTAGGGTTTAGGGGACCTTTAGAGCTTTCCCTTGCTTCTCCAATAGCCAAGAGAAAAAGGTTCAATGTGTTTTTTTCTACCTAATAAGGAAACCACCAAAAAACAAAGATTAACCATTAGCTAAATAAGTTTCTGCGTATCATGTACTCCGTCGCCATGAAGGAGGACACCCTTTTAACGGGAACGAGTCGCGAATCACAGCCAGAACATGAGCCCCTTCAGGTCTTCGGGTTCCACATCGCCGCAAAAGAAGCCTATGAACATCCTAAACCCTGAGCCCTAAACCCTAAACCCCAAAGCCCCGTTGAGAGTTCAAGTACGGAAGAGCCGCATCGCCGCGCTTGATCACGAAGCAGCGCGGCGTCAGCTTTTTCCTGGGCCACGACAGCACAAAACCACGGTTCAGGGTTTAGGGTTTACTTAGGCATGTCGCACAATCTCAGATACCCATTCTGCTTCATGTGAGCTGCCAAGGGCCCTAACCCTAAACCCTAAACCCTAAACGCTAAACCCTAAACCCTTCACCCGACAGCTGGAAGGCACCGCATCTTCATGGGCATCGGCCAAGTGTGGCACAAGGAAAACAAACAACTCGATGCAGCTCTGCTGGCCCTGTCCACAGAGCCCACTCAACAAAAAGCATACTATCCTTAATCCCTGTTCCCCTAGGAAGAAAAAACGATCCTTTTTGATCATATATAAGAAAGCCCATAACCCAAAAAGTAAAAAGGATCCCTAACACTGATCTAGACTTGGTAGCCCAGCAACCAGATTAGAACGATGTACCCTTGCTTTTTCTCTGGTTGGGTAGTTTATGAGGGAACCTTGAACCAAAGAAAGGGAAAAAGGGTACTTGGGCTACCAAGATCAACCCGAAAAATTGGGATTTAAGGCTTTAAAGCCCTCGAGCCGACTCAGACCCCAGATCCTGCGAACCACTGAGGACCTGAAACCACCCTAAACCCTAAACCCTAAACCCTAAACCCTAAACCCTAAACCCTAAACCCTAAACCCTAAACCCTAAACCCCAACCGCCTCCCTCAAGTCCAAGCTTCTCTCGCTCCCCGACATCTGCCTCCTTGTCGGTGCGGGTCTTCTTCCGCCTGCGCGCGCGCGAGGGACTTGGGGTTTGACTTTATAGCGCGGGGGGTCTCAGGGTTTAGCAGATGGTTAAGGTTTTGAGGAAGTATATATATATATACATATTGCCATAATGCATAGGTATACATATAATGTGACTTTATAGCGCGGGGGGTCTCAGGGTTTAGCAGATCGTTAAGGTTTTGAGGACATATATATATATATATATTTATTACCATAATGCATAGGTATACATATACTGTATGCACATATAAAGAGGAGTGTATACATATGTGTGTATATATATATACGTATACATATACATATACATATACATATACATGTGGAGAAGATTTTTGGCCTGAGGGCTTAACTGGATTCTCGGGTTGGGCAGGTGATTGGAGCTTCGAAACTGAAACTGGAGGATGTCCGCGTCGCTCACAACCGCAGTAAGGCAGAACAACAAACACCAAACAGAGGGTTCCTGAAAGTAAGAACAGTTTTTGTATTTGTGTTTAACAGAGGGTTCTTGAAAGTTAGAACAGTTTTTGCTTTTGATTATTCATTTTTGTTTGGGGGGGTTCATGTTTCACATTAAATTGTTATTGCGTGATAGTCGAATGATGTAGGGACCATGAGGAATACGACTAGCAATCTTTCCGACACTGATATTGCACCTGTTTTGCTAGGGGGCCAGATGAACTCGAAGAAACTTTTGCGCATTTATGGGCCTTCTTCGCCTTATAAGTTCCCGAGTTTCGTAGTATGGCCCTGGGAACCCCGCATATACCCCTTACTTATCCCATATAGCCCAGGACCCCATACTTCAGAACCCTTTAAAGGTGAGGGGCCATGTTTAAGGGGCCATGAAACTACCCCTATATTTTCAGAGCAGAATCCCAGAGCCCTGGGAGGATCCAAGAAGTAGATCCCCTTAAGGGTTCCTAAGAATGACCCAGTAGTTGTATAGGGTACTTTTAAGGGGTTCTACTTTCTCTTGGTAGCCCAGTAACCAAAAAAAGGGTAGAGAGTACCACTGGCCTACCCTGTTTTGGATCCTTTCAGGGGTCTGGGATGGAGTCCTAATTGCCCCAGTTGTTCGAGTTCAGGTCCCCCAGGTTCGTGTATGTGGGGGGATGATAACTTGGGCCTGGAACTGCAGACCCCATAGGGTTTAGGGTTTAGGGCTTAGGGCTTAGGGTTTAGGGTTTAGCTTAGGGTCCGTCTTGAGAGTGGGTGGGAAATGGGGGTGGGGGGGTGGGGTGGGTATCCAAATGGCCCCTGTTATTGCTGACGAACTGCCAGACAAATGCCTTCAGTGCGAGTCACGATCAAGAGAGACATTGGGCAGGGCTGTTCTTCCCCAAATGACACCCAGTAAAAACTAAAGCGCGCTCACCAAGATTTTAGTTCTTACGAGGAGCCACAATGCACACAATCACCCACAACAGCAGCAGCATAGGACCTCGTAAAACCATAGACATTAAAACCCTAAAACCCTAAACCCGAAACCCTCAAAACCCTGGAACCCTAAAACCATAGACATTAACACCTCAAAGCCCTTGAACCCAAACTTCCAACCCCCCAAGCCCTAAAACCCTAGAAGCCCAAAAGCCCTACAACACCAAAAGCCCAAGAAAAACCCAACACCCTAAAACCCTATAGCCACCGAAAATCCGAAAATACCCAAAAGTCTCAAAACCCCAAGTCCCTGAACCCCATACGCACCAAAACCCTAAAACCCCAAAAGCACCAAAATCCTAAAACCCCAAAAGCACCAAAACACCCTAACACCCCCAAAAGCCCTTAAACCCACAAACATCCCTGGTTGCGGCCTGCGGCCCTGCCGAGGCATCTCGGGGGCAAGTCGCAGACGATCCGGCGCAGGGTGCGGACCATACAGGCGCTGGGTTTAGGGTTTCAGGGTTTAGAGTTTAGGGTTTAGGGCTTCAGGATTTGAAGGTTTTAGGGTCTTAGGGCTTAGGGTTTCGGGGCTTGGGGTGTTAGGGTTTCAAGTTTGGGGTTTGGCGTTTGGGGGTTTTAGGGCTTCGGTTTTTAGGGATCAGGGTTTAGGACAGGGTTTGAAGCATCTTGTGTAAGGCTCATGGGGTGTATCGGGTTTGGTAGGGTCGAGGTTGTAGGGTGTGAACCCCAAACAGGAATAAGGGCCTGCTCTCCTAGAGAAGGTGTCCGAGGGTTCAGGGATGGCTTGGAGCACTTGTGCCCAGAACTCGGGCCTGGAATCCGAACCATCCCGGTGAGCCAGAAGGACGTGCGGTGATGGAAGCTTCTTCTGTTGGTCTTTGAGGGTTTCAGGGTTTTGGGGTTTGGGGCTTTTTGGGGGTTTGGGGTTTGGGGCCTTTTGGGGGTTTGGGGTTTTGGGTTTTAGGGGGTAGGGTTGAAAACAGAGTTTTGGGGTCTGCACCGCGTGAAGCCAAACAGGAAAACCCGAGCTGATAAGGAATTTGATTTTGGGGTTTCCCTGAACCCTAAACCCAAAACCCAAAACCCTAAACCCTTAGGGTTAGGGTTAGGGTTTATGCCCAGCTGCCTGCGGAAACGAAGCACCAGAAAACGAAGCCAAATCAAAACACCAAGCCCTGAATCCCCAAACTCCTGCCTGCCTCTCATTGATACCCGTTTTTTCGCTTGCTGCAATTGAAAAAAACTAGGTACTCTAAAGCAGAGCAAACATTACGGGTTCCATGTACACTTCGAGCAAAACCTCGGCCCTAAACCCCTTACACCCAACATCCTATCACCTGACTGACCAATCAAACCCTCTAAAAACCTCTAAAACCCCAAGCCCTAAAACCCTAACACCCATAACCCTACACCCGAAAAACCCTAAACCCTAAACCCTCAACCCTGAAATGCCACGTCCGAAAACACGCCAGCCCGTCTTCGCGAGGCGCTTGACGGTGTTCATAGGGATGCTAAGGCTCGATAGGGGCACCTCCCGTTGGGGGGTGGGCGGGGCTGTGGGGTGAGGGGGTTTAGGGTTTAGGGTTTGGGTTTAGGGTTTAACTTGCGGGGCTTCTGAACCCTAAACCCCCAATCCTTAAACCCGAAACCCTTGAACCAAAACAAACAAAGGTTAAAGAACAGCTGTAGGGCTGAGGGTTTAGGACGTAGAGTTCAGGGCTTCAGGGGCTTCAGGGGCTTCAAGGCGCAGGAACGGATCAGACCTTACACCCTAAGCCCTGAAAGGGTTTAGGGTCTAGAGTTTAGGGGTTTAGGGTTTAGGGTTTAGGGTTTAGGGTTTAGGGTTTAGGGTTTAGGGTTCAGGGTTTAGGGCTAGACAGCCGAACTGGAACCGGCAGCTCCCTTTCGCTCCTCCCACGACCGCGAACATGGCCTGCCCTGAAGCCCTGAAGCCTTAAACTTGGGCTTTTCCCCCCATATACTAGCAGTAGGGTTTAGGGTTTAGGGTTTAGGGTTTAGGGTTTAGGGTTCGGGATTACAGTAGGGGGTACTAGAACCCCTATTAAGCACTGTTAAGTATAATGGGGAACGTCCCAACCCTAAACCCTAAACCGGGTTCAGAGCTTATGGTTCACCGTAGGGCCCTCAAACACTTGAACTGAAGGCTTATTCATACAGGAAACTTCTCTTGTCGAATGAGTGTCAGGCTGTCAAAAACCCTAAACCCTAAAGCTTAAACCCTAAACCGCTGAAGCCCAACTTTTGACTCCTTGGCCGCCTGCTCCTCCTCTTCTGCAAGTGCCATCTCCGCCTGTGCCACCGGACAGGGAACTCTCCCAACCGGCCGATAAGTTTGGGGTTTAGGGTTCAGGGTTTCGGGGCCCTAAAACCCCTAAATCTCGTAGAACCCTGCGCCCCTTTACCCCCAAGAGTTTCAAGAGAACTACCAGCTCTTGAGGCCCCCGAAACCCTAAACCCTAAACCCTAAACCCTAAACCCTAAACCCTAAACTCTTAGGGCCCTCAAGGATTTCCTGTCTCAGCGATCCAACGTCTTAACGCCTTTGCTGAGGGGAGGTTGAAGTTCGGTCTTCGGGGCTTGTGATTGGGATGTTCCAGCTTTAGGGTTTAGGGTTTAGGGTTTGGGGTTTCCCCCTGAAAGAGTAACAAACCTTCATAGGGATTATAGTAGGTGGGTACGATAATCTCAGTAAGGCTGCTAGTATAAGGGGAAGCATCCCAAGCTTGAGAACTTGAAAGAATGAACCCCCGAACACCCGAAGCAAACGAGACAAGTTCAGCTCAAAGCAGCCCTGAACCCCCAACCTGCTGGACCCTCAACCCCAGTAGCCCTTGTGTACGCAAGATTTTGGCAAAACGAAAAGAAAAGCAGAACCGCGTGGATCCAATCATTAAAACACAAAGACCACTCAGCACAGCAGGTCCTTTGGTGCCAGTGACGACGGCCCCCTATAAATTGTACGAACCCTGCCCCCCCCCCCCCCCCCCCAAAAAAAAATAAAAATAAAAAAGAAAAAACATATATATATATATATAATCTTGCTAAGGCCCCAAAATCGAGTTTCTGTAGGGCATAACAAGGCAGCCATTTTTCCTCAACAAGATCCCAGTACGGCTCCATGTACCTAAGTAGTACATAGTGGGGCTTCCCAAAACCTGGATGCCCTTGTTGAAGGTTCCTATAGTAGGAATGAGAGAAGGAAAGAAGGAAAAAGGTTGAGGGTTTAGGGATTAGGATTTAAGGGCCTTTAGGGTCTAATACCTATGTAGACCTTGACCCTGAAGCTACGTCCGACTCGTCGTCCCCCAAACGTACTCCCCAAAGCTCACTAGGCCACTTGCAAGCTGCACCTCCATGATGGGAAGCGTCACGACAGCACGGAGGAGCGACTGCTTCGGTTCTTAACTAGTCCTTTGCGTGGCACGTGGGAACTTCCTTTGCAGTCGAGTGATGGTCAACACCTTCCCATTCCGTGTTTGTGAGGATGATGCATGCACAACTGTGTTCCGCGACGATGCTGCCTTCTAGGTGGTCTAGCTTAACCTGACATGGTTCGGTGCATGCCAGCTGGCTTAGCATGGCTCTAAACCTGAACTCCACACCCCAAAACCTGAAACGCCTACCACCGCGTGAACAAACGCTTGAGCCGTGGATTGTCGGTGGTCCCGGTGGCCGCGGTCCAGAAGAAAGCTGAAGGAGCTCAGAAACCCCTTCAGGGATGCACCTTTTACTGAGGCTTAGGGTTTAGGGTTTAGGGTTTAGGAGTACACCTTGACCTGCACTGGAGATCCCAATATCATGTGCTGCTAGGGCATTGGGCTGTCTCAGAAGCTCAAGCACAGCCACTCCATCACAGAGCTCACGCCGCATACCCTAAACCCTAAACCCTAAACCCTAAACCCTAAACCCTAAACCCTAAACCCTAAACCCTAAACCCTAAACCCTAAACCCTAAACCCTAAACCCTAAACCCTAAACCCTAAACCCTAAACCCTAAACCCTAAACCCTAAACCCTAAACCCTAAACCCTAAACCCTAAACCCTAACCCTAAACCTTAAACCCTAAACTGTACAGAAGCACTACCGGTGGCCTCGTAGATCTTCGGCCCCTTCACAGGGATCGACACCTTCATGGTGGCAAGAAAGCACAGAAGCGCTACAACTTGAACGCCAAGTGCTGCACTAGACCCAGGAGTAGCCTAGGAAAAAACACAGGGTACCCTTTTTTTGCTTTTAAGGGGGTTACAGGGGAAGCCCAACCCGAAAAAAAAGGGAAGTAAGGGCCTGCTCCGGGTGCTAGTCTACTTTTGTGCCCTAGAGCTCCTGAGCCCTGTCATCCTTAGGACCCTTAGGATCGAAATTGTGTTCGCGGAGTTGTTAGAGGTATTGCTTGTTCAGAATTGCGTCGCTTGGTCCCATTACAACATAAGCCTGCCACCAGCTACCCTAAACCCTAAACCCTAAACCCTAAACCCTAAACCCTAAACCCTAAACCCTAAACCTGACCCAAGCAGCCGTCCACCCTCAAAGAGACAATCCACCGACTGGGCCTCCACGAAAGGGCAGGAGAGCTCGACCTGTCCGGGGCTCTTGTGGGGTTTTGGGGCTTCGTCGGATTTATGAATGCTTCAGTACGGGGTTAGGGTTCGGGGTATCTCGGCCCTAAACCCTAATCCTACACCCTAAACCCGAAACCCTAAAGGTTTAGGGCATGTTGAGCTGTTTGGGGGGATCTAGGGATCCATCACGATGTCGGCTGCTTGGTGCTGAAGCGTTTAATCGTGGCATATCATGTGTATATATGTATATATACACGTAAACATATATACATACGATACTGTGTATACATGTATGTGTATATATAAAAAAAAAGTATAGACACACTTACAGATAAATGCATGCATACGTCGTACATATATACAAATACATGTACACATGTACACAGTCTTAACCCCTAGTAGGAATCCCAAATTCCTACATCAAGGGGTGCTGGATAACCCCAAACCCAGACTGAACTTGGAGCCCCAGCAAAAATTGAAATGTTTGCTGCTTCTTATAAGAATTATCTATAGTACCCAAAAAAATTAGACAGTATTTCCAAGTACCCCTAAGCAAACCTCGCAGCCGCCTGGCGCTTCAACACCAGCTTGCTGGCACCCATCGCCTCGTAGATGCCCACGTGCCTGAACCCTAAACCCTAAACCCTAAACCCTAAACCCTAAGCCCTAAACCCTAAACCCTAAACCCTAAACCCTTCGCGCTCTGGTCTTTCGGTTTGAGGGAGGGTTGACCTTAAGCCCCACTGAACTTGCAGACTGGATTAGGGTTCAGGGTTTGCAGGTTTAGGGCTTACAGCAGGGTGCGATTTTTTTGCAAGGTGCAGGCAGCAGGCACGAGGCTGAGTGCATTG